TACCATGTAAATGAGGATGGTGTATTGTAAAAACAAAACCACTGGATTATATTGAAACAGTCGGTCTAGTGGAAGATGCTTCTTACCAAGTTGATGAAGTTGAGCAAATTAATGATGTGATTGCAGATGAACAAATTACAAGTTTGTCTGATACAATGGTTGAGGGACATCAAGTTGATGCGTCTATATTGTTGGTTGATAATAATGTGAACGAAGAGCATGATGAAGAGTTTGGATCTGAGGATAATATCACATCAGATGATAAGAATGATATGGATGACAAGCATGAAGATTTAGAATAATGAACTATTTATTGAATGTGTTAATGAATATGTATTGATGAGAATGTATTTTTCAAATTTTTTTGATATATATATATATATATATATATATATATATATATATATATATATATATATATATATATATATATATATATATATATATATATATATATATATATATATATAAACTGCGTATTCTATATAAATATGTAAAATGTCACCTCGAATTGATAAGAGTAAGGATAATGGTAAGAAGTCCCAACGTCTGAGGTTAGTAACATGTGAGGCACCTCAGTCGGCCACGTGTCCTCCCCTGCAGAGTTAGGTTGATCCTATATCCATGTCCAATACTCAGCCTTTTGTGTCATTACTCTCCTATCAGAATATGTCATATCCATCTGAGAGTTCATCTTTTTATTAGCCTGTATGGGGTACCATCTTTTGTTAGGCCACCTGGTTTTCTTTTCCCGCAGACCCAGATGCCCTTATCTATCTAGTATATTGGAGGATCCAGTTTTCCATATCCCACACAAATGCTTTTATCCTTCTAGCAGTCTGGAGGATCTAGCACCCCACATCCCACACAGACTGGAGGATCCTACACCCCACATCCCACACAGACTGAAGGATTCCGCGCCCCACATCCCACACATGTACCTCTGCATGTGAGGATGATCATGCACAGCCGAATGATGATGATGACATGGATGGGCATGATGATGTGTTGGATGGAAATGATCTTCGAGAGAATGATGATCCGAGTGAGATTCATGTCATTGACGGGAGATTTTGGATTTGACCCGAAGGAAGCTCATAAGTTTCTTATTTGTAAATTTTTATTTAAGTATACATTTTCATTTTTAATATGAATTTATATTTAATATTACTAATTCAAATTATTGTTGTTAAGTTTCTCTCTGAGTCGGGTTGTTCCCAAGGTTATAGATTATATAATTCAGCAGATGTATAAACAATTTTGGAAGACTTTCAAAGACGTTAAAAATAAAGAATCTTGGTTTAACAAATTTAAGGTATAATTAATTTATTTTTAGTTATTGTTATTTAAATGACTTTTTCATTATAATCATCTAACTATTTATTTTAATGTCATACACTGCAGGAAAAATGTGTGCGGGACCCATTGAATGAGAAGCTGATTAAAAGAAAATTATTTTGGTAGAACCTCAAGACGACTTTCTGACATAATGCAGCGTGTTAGAGAGCATTGAGAACTTCAGGGTATCTGTCCCAATTGGATAGGCAAAGAAGTTTTTGAGGAACTTCTTAAATATTACCACATTTTAAGTTATATTTTGATTCATAATATATTTTATTAGTTAAATTTAACTTTATTATTTAGACCAAGACTTTGGGGAGACCACGAGTAATGATTGAGCTGGTTAAAAAGCATCAGACAAAGAAAATTGGGAATTTTGTTGGCGAACGTACACTAAAAGCTTTCGTAAGTTATTTAATTTACATTGTTTATATATATTTTTAATTTAATGATAATTTTGTGTCGTGATTTTCATGTGGCAATTGAGAAGTTGTGACGTAAAAATCATGTGGCAATTGAGAAGTCATGGCGTGAAAATTATGTGACAACTTTTTTATTATAATTTAATTTAATATAATTTAATATATATTTAGCTTAATTTTTTTATTGAATGTGTAGAAAGATTATCAAATAATGCTCGCAAATTTTCTGATTCATAATCCTCAATATACTACGGGAGAGGGAGAGCCGCTTCATTCAAATGTAGATTTTTATATTTGGGATCAAGCCATTGGCAGATAAAGCCCTAACGGTTGTTTTTTTTGGTGGTGGAAATTTGGCGGGAACCTTGAGAAGTGGGGATAGAACTCTATTTCAAAGAGTTAGAGATGTGGAAGGAGGGTCACGTCAACCAAATTTGACACCAGAACAACTTGAAACAATAAGACAATTGACATTAAATGAGGTGAGGCGCGAGTCAGCGCAACATGAGGCGGCAATGAAGACCCAAATGGAGGCAATAAGGCAAGAGCAACAACGACAAATGGAGGTCATGGTGAAGAGACAAGCTGATATGGAGCAGTAAATGAGACAATTTATGCAAGGATTTGGTGGAATCAAAACGTTTGTGGTCAAGAGCCGAAAGATGACAGAAACGAAGATAATTTTGACATTGACAACTATAACAACCAAGATGACCCGTAGAATTAATTTTTTTTTTTAGTTTGCTTTCAAATTTCAATTTGTGTAACATACTAATTAATTAAAACCTATTTAGTATATTAAGTTAAGAAATCTTAAATTTATAATTTTAGGTTACTAATTTATTATATTAAATTTATTTAGTTTACTAATTTATTAAATTTATTAATTAATTTTATTAATTTAATTAATTATAAAAGAAAAATAAATTTCAGCAATTAAATTAAAAAAAAAACATTAGTGACGTGATTTTTACGTCACACATTAGTGATGTGAAAATCACGTCACAACTTAATTTTTTTTATAAAAAGCAAAAGTTGAATAGAACGTTGGAGTGTTAAATATAATTACTTAGTGATGTGATTTTTACGTCAATAATTTATGACGTGAAAATCACATGGAAAATAAAGTACTGCTCTGACTTCTGCGCCTGCTTCCACTGTAATTTTAGGATTTCTGTGCAAGCAAGTTGCGACGTGATTTTCACGTCACAACTGTGGCATGAAAATCACCTCGCAATATATTTTCACGTTGTGATGTGAATTTCATATCGCAAATGAGAGTTTTTTTTATAGTGTATGTTAACATAACACCATACATTCATTCTTTCGACTTCCAAATTAATAGAAAATATTAAAATAAATGTTGTACAAATTAATATAAATAAAAAAGCAAACAATTTTCTTTCTTATCCGAGCTGAGACAAAGAATGTCAAAAAGAGAGAAAATAAGATGAAAGATGTCAAAAAGAGGGAAATTGCATATTTCATCCTCGGTAATTTCGATGCAAAATTAAGAAAAAATTTAATGTCAGTTGTGAAATCGATTTTGACAAAATTAAGAACAATTTCAATATCGGTAATTTCGATACAAAATTAAGAACAATTTCGATTTGGGTGTTGGAGTGTGGAAATTGGTTCGGGTCATAAGAGAAATTGATTCAGATGGAAGTCGATTGAGATGGGGGAAATTGATTTGGGTAGAGAGGATTGCGGATCGGTGAGAGCTTTTGTTTGTGTTTTGGAAAATTTTCTAAAAGGACATAAATAAAGTGTAATGATTTTTATTATTTGATCCGTAAGAATAACTGACATTTTATTATTATTTGGTGGGAGAGTATAGTGGCGGAGTGGAAGATGAAGAAAAAGAGTTTGTGAGAGGTTGGTGATGTTTCTCATTTATTTGTGATTGATTGGAATACATGAAGACTAATAATAATAGCAGAGCCTTGGTATTGACAGAAAATCAACAAACGTGATATCACTGTAATGCAAAAAGCAAAGATTCAGCTGAATAATAATTAAAATTGGAATTGTAAACTAGAATTTTAAAATTAAAGAAACAATTAGAGATTGTAATTACCTTTAGATCCTTATAAATTTATGTTTAAATTAATTTTTTTTAGTTAATGACATAATATGATAGTAATTTTTTTTATTATATTAAAAGTAGATTTATCTAAATGACATTAAAATAATATATAAAAAATGAGTTTTATATTTTAAATATTATTTAAATAAATATGTGGATTTCTTAAAAAATGATGAGACCACAAATGCCCATAATATTATGCCGGGTTATCTTAAGTTCACTTTATTGATACATTATGTTTGTATAATTGTACTACTACCGGGTGCTGTTTGTGTCTTATAAATATTATTTGTATAGTGGTACCATAGTTTATTAATTTTTAATGCTTACAAATATATAATTTTTAATTTTTGATATTTTTTTAAATGGTAAAGAAATGAAAAATATAAAAAATTATGTAATTTATCTATATCTATGTACTAAAAACGTAGATAAAGTTACCTCTATTTTTGCTAATATTATTTTTGTAAATTTTTAAATTTAAAAGACGCGTACTAACTTGAAGATAGTATATCCATAACTTTATTCAAAACCCTAATTCAATAGTAATATCCATATTTTCATGCTAATTTGAAAAAGATACCAAAAAAACAAGTTGAGTTAGGTTGGGAGTAAATCATCGACATAACAATAATGATAAATGACATTTAAGTACCAAATGAGTTAATGATAGCAATGTTTTCAGCTTCTACAACAGGTCCCTATAAATGCATTGTCATAAATTGCTTCCACATATAGAATTATTGCTTACTTAGTACTAGTACTACAATTTATTGAACGTTACCTATTTCCTTAGATCTTCACGTGTTAGTTGAACCTCCCTTTATTATGCTCCTTTTCTTAACTCTTCATCACTCAAAACCTCCTTTCTATTCACACATAGTACACTCAAAACACACATAGAATAAAATAGTCAATATTCAAAAGTGAAAACAATAAATTTATTAGACTTTTGTTTAAAAAAGCTTATCATAAATTAAATGTGTATGGTTATATAGTCCTACTCACATTCATTCTCTCATACAAATAACACTTTCATCATTATATACATTCATAAGTAGTTGAGAAATGAAACCAAAGAAATATTGAAATTAGATCTTTACACCTTTGCATGCTTTTTGTGTGTAAATTGTGCTAACTAGTATTGAATGGATACTTGTGAGATTAAGTCACCAGAAGTTCCTCAACAAGGGACACCAACAGCATGCACTACTTCAATGAACAGAAAGAAACTTGGAATTTACTTCATTGAATCTGAAGATAGAAGAATGGCTTTAGGACGTGGATATACAAGAGGTTCTACGCCTGTTAATATTCATGGCAAATCCATTGTTGATCTTTCTAAAACTGGTGGTTGGATTGCTGCTTTCTTTATATTTGGTATGTTCTTCGCTATATATATTGGTTATCTCTACTTGATACTAACAAAACTTGACCCGGTCAGACCTGACGATCTGAACAGAACGATGACAGGGCCCTTTTAAGTTTTCAGAGTCCTGTGCAGGTTTGTCACAGTTTAACCGTGGTATAATAAATAGAAGCCCTATTTTTCCACGGTATAAATGTATCAAAAATTTCACGAGGCCCTTTTACCCTTGGTTCAACCGTCCAACATTTTGGGCGGGCCCTGTGCAGTAGTCTGTTTTGCACACCCTTAAAGGTGGCCCTGTTTGTAGACGAAGGTCAAATACTCTGACAACTTATGAATTGAGTGACCGAGACAAATTAGGTCTTGGCCTAGTCGGAAACAGAACTTGATTGATTTATGAATATTTTTATGATTTTTATCCTTCTATGGCTGTTTTGTAGGAAATGAAATGGCAGAAAGAATGGCTTATTTTGGACTTTCTGTTAACATGGTGGCTTTTATGTTTTATGTGATGCATAGACCTTTTGCAAGTTCATCCAATGCAGTCAACAATTTCTTAGGAATATCACAAGCTTCTTCTGTTCTTGGTGGATTTCTAGCTGATGCATATCTTGGACGTTATTGGACCATAGCCATCTTTACTACAATCTATCTCGCGGTACAATTTTTTCCCGTTGATTTGAACTGTCAAATAGAAATAAAGCTCAAATATCTCATGTTAGTCGTGACAAAGTGACATTCTCGTGGTTAAAATATATGCCTTATTCTCTGAAACGACACTTCAAATTGAAGGCGTGTCAGGTGTCTAATATGTATGTGTTAGTCTCTGACACGATTAACACTGATACATATGGTTACATTCAATCACTTCCATTTTATCAAATTATTTTTCATATGTATGTGTTAGTGTCATGTCCTACGTACGTGTTTGTGTTAGTACTTCAGACATTTTAAGTTTGTTTGTTTGTTAATTTCATTCCGAAATTTTATGAACAGGGTTTAACAGGAATAACGATATGCGCAACAATTAGCATTTTTGTACCAAATCAAGAAAACTGTGATCAATTGTCACTTCTATTAGGAAACTGTGAGCCTGCAAAACCCTGGCAAATGACATACCTTTACACAGTTCTATACATTACAGCATTCGGAGCTGCAGGTACTCATAGATTAGTTGAAGTCTTATTTGAAGGCGTGTCTAGTGTGTGACACTGGTAGTGATACTGACACACGAGAGATATGATTACATTCAATTAATTTATTTTTTAAAAGTTTACTTATGACCTCAACGCTTATGCTTGTGTTAATTGTAATTTCTATGATATCGACACTTTTGATTGAAAGACACATGATGTTCGATACTTACACGATACTGACACACGCGGAAAACTACAGGTATAAGGCCATGTGTGTCATCTTTTGGAGCAGACCAATTTGATGAAAGAAACGAGAACTACAAATCACATCTTGATAGATTTTTCAACTTGTTCTATCTTTCTGTGACAATTGGCGCAATCATAGCATTCACCGCAGTTGTTTATGTCCAAATGAAATATGGTTGGGGTTCTGCTTTTGGTTCATTGGCAATAGCAATGGGAGTATCTAACATGTTGTTCTTCATTGGTACACCTTTGTATAGACATAGATTACCGGGCGGAAGTCCTCTTACACGTGTCGCTCAAGTATTGGTCGCCGCATATCGAAAAAAGAAATGAATCTTTTGGTAATAGTGAGGTTATTGGGTTGTATGAGGTTCCTGGTAGGAAATCCGCTATAAAGGGTAGCCAGAAAATCGCTCATACCGATGATTTCAGGTTAGAGACTTTTTCTTTATTACAAAACTATAGTTGTGTTAGAATAATATAGCAAGTGTGAGTAAGTGGGAAAATAGTCCCCACATTAGATAGGAATATGGAGACTTAAGCATAAATATAAGTGGGAGAACCCACTCAATTATCACCTTAAGGTTTTAGGTGGAGAAGTGGTGTGTCTCTCTCAAAGGTGGAGAAATGGTTTTGTACTATTGTTTCATAGATATAAAATCATATCTTTGCATGCTAAACTAATAACAACTACATGATCTATATATTAGGTTTCTTGACAAAGCAGCATTACAATTGAAACAAGATGGCCCTAATCCAACTCCATGGAACCTTTGCACAGTCACACAAGTAGAAGAAGTGAAGATCCTCATAAAACTAATCCCAATTCCAGCTTGTTCCATCATGCTCAATGTAATCTTAACAGAATTTCTAACTCTCTCAGTTCAACAAGCATACACATTAAACACTCACTTAGGCCAACTAAAACTCCCCGTTACGTGCATGCCCGTTTTCCCGGGCCTAAGCGTCTTCCTAATCTTGTCCCTCTATTACCAAACCTTTGTACCTGTTTTTAAACTCATCACTGGCCATCCACACGGCGCATCACAGCTTCAACGAATAGGTATCGGTTTAGCCGTTTCAATTCTCTCGGTTGCTTGGGCCGCAATCTTCGAGAAATATAGACGAAACTACGCAATTCAAAACGGTTTTGAAGCTAGTTTCTTAACTCCAATGCCAAATTTAAGTGCTTATTGGTTATTAATCCAATATTGCTTAATTGGCGTGGCTGAAGTTTTCTGCATTGTTGGCTTGTTGGAGTTTCTATATGAAGAAGCACCTGATGCTATGAAGAGTATTGGTTCTGCTTATGCAGCTTTAGCTGGCGGTTTAGGTTGTTTTTTCGCGACGCTTATAAATAGCGTTGTTAAATCGGTTACCCGGAAATTCAGATAAAAGACAAGAATCTTGGTTATCACAAAACATCAACACTGGAAAATTTGATTATTTTTATTGGATTCTTACAGGTTTGAGCTTGATCAATTTCTGTGTGTTCTTATTTTCAGCACATAGATACAAATATAGGACACAACATGTTTATGAGATGGAGAATGTTAAACAAGATGTGATAAACCATGGAAGCTCTACAACAGTTTCTAGCTAGTTTGAATGATAGAATTTTATATGTTATATGTATGTATTATTAGTCCTCTAAAGTTAGAGGGTGTATTTAAAGGATTAAATGTGAATATAATTGTTGATTGAAAAGTTAATAATGACATAATTTGTTATTTTAATGAATTTTATTTTTCATAAAATTACTAATTTTGATTTTGATATTAGAGTGTACTTTTGTTTTGAAGGAATAAATATGTATTCATATGTAGGAGAGAAGTTTCACCCCTTTTAATAAAGTTAATATGGACATAGTGTGTTATTTTAATGAATTTTATTTTCATAGAATTACTAATTTGATTTTGGATATAGAGTGTACTTTTAGTTTTGAAGGAAATAAATATGTATTCATATGTATGAGAGAGTTTCACCCTTTAATAAAGTTATAATGACATAGTTTGTTTTATTTTAATGAATTTTATTTTTCATAAAAATTACTAATTTTGATTTTGATATTAGAGTGTACTTTTAGTTTTGAAGGAAATAAATATGTATTCATATGTAGGAGAGAAGTTTCACCCCTTTAATAAAGTTAATAATGACATAGTTTGTTATTTTAATGAATTTTATTTTTCATAAAATTACTAATTTTGATTTTGATATTAGAGTGTACTTTAGTTTTGAAGGAAATAAATATGTATTCATATGGAGGAGAGAAGTTTTCACCCCCCTTTAATATATCTTTCATTTATCAATTTAGTGACAAATTTGAAAATGCACTTATAAATTTGTCAGGAGGAAATTTGAAAGAAAAAAAAAAGCCACATTTGCACCTGAGGGACTATTCCGAAAGTGTATTTTCGATTTGTCAATTCCGAAAGTATATTTTCGAATTTGTCAAGTGAGAAATTTAATAAAACTCATGTTTGTTTCACTCACCGTTCAAAAGCACCATTTTCCTTCAAAACTCTATCAAAATCTCATTCCACACTCAATCAAGTTTTCTACTTCAAAGCAACATTTCTTTGTTATTTTACATCAAAAGAAGCAAAGGAAGTTGGAATTTAAAGGTTACTGTGTAGAGCTAAGGCTACTAATAAATTTGGGTGTTTGGGTTTAATTGGGAATTAACTAGAATTTAATAATTAATGAAGGACACCGGTATGTATTTCGTTAACTAAGGGGTTCAGTACATCATTGACGTTTGTTTTTAGTATTAGAACATAATTTCGGTGAAACTATTTGTTTAAAAACCTTGTCTCAAACTTCCGTTCTATCGAATTAGATCATATCAGTTAAGCTCGAAATCAGCGCTTTCGCTGTTTCATTTAAAACTCAAAAGTATTTTTTGAAAACAAATAGGATTTAATTAACTTTAAAGCGCTTCCGCTGTTTTTAAAATCAATGTTTCAATGACCACTATCTGGTTAAAACCTCAAACTTCCGCTCTATTGAATTTTTACCTTAGACTGTGTCTTACTTCCGTACAAAAACTATTAAACATTCAATTGGAAATTAAAACCAAAAAAAGTATTCTTTTTGTAAAAATAACAACGCCAATTAATTACCGAACCCTTTTCGGTCAAGTTCTACATACCGTACATGGAATCTAGCCGAACATATATTATTGCAGAACATCATAAAATTAAAATATAAATTCGACAACGCATGCATAGCAGAGAATAAATAAATATGCTTATTGAAATAAGAACCTGAAAGCGAATACAAAGCAGTAAATTCCAATAATGCGTATGTCCTCCACAAGCCGGCAGGATTGACTTTAAGTAAAATAGCTCGAATAAAAATCAGAGTAATCCTAAACAATTTTGGAGGTCTGGAAATAAACTAATGTTGCAGTATTTCTCCGATGTGGGAAAAATATTGCTCTGACGGTGAGGTTTTATTGCCTACGGAATACTACTACTGGAAGATTAATGCTGGAATTCTAAAACTCGAAAGTAAAAAGAAGAATACAAATCTAAATAATATTCAGTAGAAAAATAAACCTTTGTAACAAATTTTATTCAAAGTGCAGGGGAGAGTGGAGAGACGAGAGGAGATTATCGAGGAGAGGAGTGAGAGAGAGAGAGAGAGGAGAGAGAGATGGAGATGAGAGAGAGAGAGAGAGAGAGAGAGAGAGAGAGAGAGAGAGGAGAGAGACGAGAGAGAGAGAGAGAGAGAGAGAGAGAGAGAGAGAGAGAGAGAGAGAGAGAGAGAGAGAGAGACGGAAAATTGGAAACTGCTTCCTTTTTATAGAGTCCATTTTTGTTTAGGGAAAATACGTGACTTCCATGATTCTCGTTCTTCATGCGGAGAAAATCCAGGTGACGTGCGCTTAATATGCTCCACTGGCAAAGACTTCGTAACTGCTTAGAACGTGCATGTCATCCACATATGTCCCGGTCGTAACATGAGTATGTCGAGGGGCACAGAAGTTCAGCTCGTGTCGGTCGTAACATGCATGTGCCAAGGGGCACAGAAACTTAGCTTGTGCCGTAACGACTTTGTGGAGGGCGGTACGCTTCTCTGCTACAAAACTTCATTTTGCTGTTTTAAAACCATTTCTTCTTCATTTTTCCATTTTTCCTTCCTTTCTTATTTTATGCGTTGCAAATGCTAGGTAATTGAAATATGATTCAAAACTACAAAAAGGGATAAAATGTGACATAATAACCGAAGAATCGGAAATTTAATCTATGTAATTTGGACAGAAAATACTATATCTTTTCGTGTTATTAATACTGAAATTTATTATTTTTATTTTGTGAAGAAATTAAAACAAGTCTAAACTATAATCAAAATTATTCAAAAGAAATTGAAAAATAGTAAGAAACAACCCAAGGGGTGCAATCTGGGGGCAGGAGATACAGTAAGCGAACCAACTCTAAGCCCAACTCGGAACTGGTCCACAAGCATTTTTTTTTGTAATGTCAAGCAGGCTTCAGAAAAAACGTACGTGGGCCTAAGAGCAAAGCGCGTTTTGGGTCCAGACGCAACAATACTACCATCCAGATCTTTTATTATGTTTTTCAGTATGATTATCAAAAATATAATAAATCTCAATAAAAATTAAAACAAAACATGTGGATTAGGGTTAAGAAGGGGATGACGATTGGCTTCCCGAAAAAATCCTCCTTCTTTCTTCGATCTCCCAACGGCGGCGCTACTCAAATCACCTTCTCCTACAACAATCCTCACAGTGTCATCGACATTATCCGCCTCTCATTGTTTCTTGATCTCTTTTCACCATAACCTCGTCTCACTGCCTCAATTCCAATTCCATCTCCTTCAATCTCATCCGATTCGATTCGACTTCTCATTTCCTCATCGATTCAATAGAACAACAAAACACATTATATGATAATGGAAGAGATTATAAGGTGTATCTACTGGAGACGAGTCTGATTATTCTTCAACACTATTGCGAATAGATGAGAAACCAGAGGTAAATTCTTCACTAATTTCTTCTTCTTCTCTTCATCGCGCGTATGTTTCTCAGCGCTTGTTGTTGTTCTTGATTGCGTATGCTTTGTGAGATTCAGTGCGTAGCTGTGTTTTGGTTGAAGCTTGAAGCAGAGTTGCTAATCTGTTGATGATGATGAAATAGAAAAAGAAAAGTGAAGATTAAAGGTGTTGCAGAAGTTGAAGGATGATGGTGCAGTGGTGAAGAAGAAGGTGGTGATGATGAATTGAAGTGATCTTGAAGAAATGAATATGAAAGAAGGTTGATGGAGGTGAAAGAAGTTTCAGAGAGATTTCTGATATTTCAGAGAGAGTACTTTTTTGGTGAGTTTCTGATAGCTGCTCTTTATGGATGAAATCTTGAATGGCGGGTTCTGAAACTGAATATATAGATGTTGAAGCTTAAAGGTAGTTAGATTGAGGAACATTGAGAGCCCTTGGATCTGAAGAGTTTGTTATGAGATGAAGGGTGTAGATGGAGTTGGTTATTTTTGTTAGTTAGAGGGTTGATTCTGTTAGTTTGTTTAATGAATTGGTTAGTTAGAAATTCTGTTAGAAGTTGGTTATCGGGATTTATGTTAGAAGTTTTGTTATAGTCAGTTGAAATTCTGTTACTCAGTTGGAGAGTTAGTTCGAATCAGTTAGTGCTAGAAGTTGGTTGTTATTCTGTTAGGTTTTAGTTGAACTGCTATAAAAGTTAGTTGGAAATCGGTAAAGTTGTTGGGGAAATTAGAGGAATTGGTCATTTGCTACTGTTACTTAGAAGTAGTAAGTGAAGGTAGAGAACTGTTAGGTTAATAGTTAGTATGGGTAGTTTGTTAGTAGTTCTGGTTATTTGGTTAAGTGGTAAGGGAATTAGTTATTTTTGTTTTGGCTTGGGTTAGAAACTCTGTTACACAGTTACGGAATTGGTTGAAACTGTTTATGACAGTTAGGAGTTTAGAGGGCTGTTTTGAGGTTGTATAGGTAGAAACTGTGTAGGATAATTGTTAAAAATCAGTTTGGAAATTAGTTATGCCAAATGTTAGGATGACAGTTAGGATTTGGGGAAGTTATAGGAAGTAGTTTCTAGTTTTTTTTCCGTGAATGTTGTGCAGGATTAGCTTGAAACAAACTTATAACTGGCTGGTGTTTGATGCAGCAGGGTAGTTCTGTTTGATGAAAATAAAATATGTACAAACAAGCTATTGAAGTAAAATCATGGTCAACACCAAAGTTCACTGCATTGTTATCAAGAATGCTGAGACCTGAAATCTTTTTAACAGTTGGTCCTGGCTTCCCAACAACCTTCTGCGAATTGCAGAATCCACTAAACTGTGACGTTGCACCAAATAGAGAGTCTATGATACTCCCACCTAGTCATGTCGTGGTAGCGATGGGTATGACCAGTAGTTGCGCATTTTAAGCATTAAATGCAGACATCGATTTTGGGGACGACTTTGCATCGGTCTTCTTGCTCACTTTTCCCTTTAGTAGTCTGTTTTTCAGCTGATCGAATGCAGTATACTGAATAGATGGGTTTGTTGTTAAAATAACAGATATGGCCAGGACATCGTATTCCTCACTCCAGGTACCCTCTGATAAGGT